AGTATGAACCCCCCCGCCGTGCTCACCAGACCTCGCTCCCTCAGATGACCACTTGTTCTGATCGATGGCACACGCACTTTCTGAGCAGCACTTCAACACGCGCGAAGACGTGGGAAACGGGGTCTCTGAACGGTTTGTCTCAAAACAAGAAAAGTTCTATTGGGACGCTCTCCACAAATTACCTGGAAGATGGGGGAATGTGTAGCTAGCGATGGACATTCCTTTGAATAAAAGCACTTTTGATGTTTTTCTTGAAATTACCATGTTTTCTTTGATTACAAAATCCGCAATTATTAACCGGTACACCTAGTATATGTTACCATACTATGGTACAATCCAGCTTGTTTTCAAATGATTTTCAAAGGAAATGCTCACAAAGAAACAGTCAAAGGAAGGACAGAAAGGATGGAGTATGTGTGTGTGTGTGTGGGGGGGGAGACAGGGACTTAAGTATGTTAAAATCTATAAACACACACACAGACATGCATCAAGAGTTCAAGAAAGGACCCATCAATAGCCAACTTAAAACTGTGAATGAACAGTCTTCATGCTTTTACTTTTTTCAATTCACGTTTTTCTGCGTTGACTATCCATTTTATAAAAAGCTACAGTGTTTATAGTTGTCCTTGGTCCCTGAGACTCACACACCACACGCTGCCGAGCCCAGAAGCACAGAGGAGCTCACAAGCAAGAGCTCCTTCCAGAGCCTGCTGTCCACCCACAGACCGGGCAGGGCCAGGGAACGAAGGCTGCACGGCGACCGGCAGCAGCTGCTGGTGGTGCTGGGTGCGTGAGGAGCAGGTCTTCAGGAAGAGACCTACACGGAGGTCTGAGGACAGAGGGGAACCACGTGGACACGCAGGTGGTCAGGGAGCAGCAGCCAGGCGCCCGCGTGCAGGGACGGAGCCGTGGCCAGCCCATGCTCGGCTGGAGGCAGCGGGCAGGCCCCGGGGAGCTGTGTAACTGGGTGAGGACTACGCCATCTCTGGGATAAACAAGACCTGGGCCTTTGAACAAGGGGCAGTAACAAGACTCCACTGCCATTCGGGAAGCATGGGCCTGGCTGCGGGGAGGAGAGGGGCCGGGGCAGCACACGAGAGAGGCAGCTACTGAGGAGCTGTGTGTGCTGCTCTGTGACGACCGTGTGGGGTGGAAAAGGCGGACACGGGACATTTCCCAGGTGGAGCAGGGAGAACGGGCCGATGCTGGATGTGGAGGCTGCGAGAAGGAAAAGTGTGAGGAGCGCTGGCCGCAGACTCCCGGGCCAGCGCCAAGGAGGCACCGTTCACTGAGTCGGGGAGGGCCAGGGAAGCAGAGGCCGGACAGGGAGAACCCAGGGTTGAGCTGAGTTAACCGAGACACATGTCCGCACCCCCTGGACAGGTCGGCCAGCCAGAGGTCAGGGCTAAGGTCAGACTCAGGAGTAATGAACACACAGCTGCTATTCTAACTCCGGCAACTGCGCTGGGTCACCCAGGGAACACGGATCGACAGGGGGAAGGGTTCCAGGTCTGATGCCCCCAAACTTTAGATGTGAAGCCGGGGAGGAACCAACAGGTCAGCGTGAGGAGGAAGGAGAACCCACGTGGAAAGGAACGGAGGGGGACGCCCTGGGCGGTGACCCAGCGAAGACGATGGAAGTAGCAGGCGACAGCCTGGAGGACCTCAGCACCCGTGACAGGCAGTCCCCATGAGGGAGCAGGAGCCGATGAGAGCCGAGGAACGAAGAGGGGTCAGAGGAAGAGCTGTTCCTTCAAGAAAGCATGCTGTGAGCAGGAGCAGACAGCTGGGCAGGCGCCGGGGACGCAGGCTTCTCCCGATGCTGGTGAGAACGCCCCCGGCCTGGAGACTGCTGCGTGCGGCCCCAGGACGCCCCAGCCTGTGCTCTGCTTCACCCACAGGCCCGTGGAGGAGCCCTGCCCTGCCAGCTCCCGCCTGAGCCTTTGGGAGACCTGCAAACCCCGCAGCTCCTGGGAGGCCCCAGGACGTCTGGATGCCATGGAGATGACAGGGGACAGGGCAAGGTCCCCCGAAGAGAACTTGAGATGACAGGGATTGGGAGGCCCCGCAGGCCCTGTGTCCTAGCACAGCCTGGCCACCAATGAACCCACTCGCTGAACACGGCCACACAAGAAACCATCAGCAAGACCAGCAACTCGCTGCCCAGGTGCATCCAAACCACTTGCATGACTGTAAGCAGGAGCCTGCTGTTTCAGTCCAGAGTTTCGGGGTATCTGTTTCCCTGCTGGGAGCCGGTCCATCCTTGCTGCTTGACACAGTCGCTGCAGGGAAGGAACATCTGCACAGCATATGTTTCAAGGGACCTGGCGTATATGGCATACTGTCCTTAATATGTTTGCTCCCCTTAGCGCTGTGTGTTTTAACCAAGGTCACCTCTCCGAGAAAGGTTGTTTCCCCAGGTAGGGATTTTCCCCTGAAGTTAGGGAGGGAATAAAACCTCTTAACCCCTTCCCCAGCAGAAAACTCACACACAGAACCTAGAGACAGAACATGGCAAAGGATCCTGGACAGAGGCTGGCAATGGAACCTAGAGACAGAACCTAGCAAGAGAACCTGGCTGAAGGTCCTAGAGACAGAACCTGGCTACAGAACCTGGATAGAACATGGCAGGAGAACCTGACTAGAACCTGGACAGGACCTGGCTGGAGAATCTAGCGAGGGAACATGGCTAACAGAATCTGGCTGGAGACCCTGACAAGAGACCCCAACTATGCTGATGAACTGAACGCTGCCTCTGTGCCATTCATTCCTTCTTGGCCGACTCCGTCTACACCTTTGGGAACCCCTGGACCTGCTGGGGTTGGACCCCAGCATTTCCCAGCAACAAATAACCAGAGTGAGAAGAGAAATAACTGATCACACAAGATAAGCCAAGTGCCGAGGAGGTAAGCTGACAGAGGGAGCGAGGACCAAGGAGAGGGCTAAGGGGAGTGGGAGGCCATTACCTTCAGGATCACCTGACCGAGAAGGGCTGGGCACACACAGCACTGAAGAGAAAGCACAGCCCCCTCTGCTCAGGGACACACAGCCTGCCTCCTGCCCCCGCATCGCCGAGAAATACAGCCCACAGTTAGCTGCGCGTCGCTGAGAGATAACACAGCCCACAGCTAGGACCCTGTGGAGTCTGCACAGCAGTGTATCGGGTCCACTACGATAACTCGCCCACGGTGCCTACGACATTAAACCACCACGTCCTGTCAGGCAAGATGCCATCACCTACCTTGCTTGTTGGCAACGCTGTTCCACTGTGAATATCGCCTCCTAAGTCAAAAGTTGTCTCCTGAACAATTCTGCCAAGATAAACAGAAAACACAGAGAATTAAGACTCAATGATCGGGCAGAGTCTCGTCCCAGTGACAGGAAAGGAGCGGTTAGAGGACGCCAGCGCCGAGATCTTCAGGACGGCGCTTCCCAGCAACGAAGCTGCAGGATGAAAGTCGCGTCTCTGGGCGTGAAGAGAGCGGAGCCTGCAGAGTGGCTCTGTGTGTCGCATCCTAAAGCAACCTGGCTCCCCCTTTCCAGGCAGCCGGAAGCGATGGCCTTCCCGTGACGTGACGCCCTCACACGAAAACAGAACGAAACAAAACGTTTCTACCGATACTTACTAAGCACTCTCAAGACAGTCTGTAAGCTACGTTTAAGAACAGTAAACGGGAAGGAGCCCTAAAGAAAGAAGCAAGAGTCCCATCCCGTGAGCCTCGAGGCCGCCAACGGCACGGAAACGAAGCAGCCGCCTCAGATGCCAGGAGCCGCCTGCTGAGGCCGTGTGATGACTTTTATGGGTCCTGCTGCTTAGGCTAGAGAAAGAAATGGAGAAATTTGTGAACATGTCAGCAATCAGACCGAGAGCTCGTCTCGTTTAATCAATTTATCAAAACTGCTAAACCATCCTCATGAAAACTAATTCAGAATATAAACAAACTCTCATGCTAAACAGGCAATAACCTGGGCACATGGAGACACAGGCACAGGTGGAGGGCGAGGGGCCCCGGGTCCCGCCGGGCAGAGGCCCAGCGGGGAACTGAGCCCAGGCACCGGGACACCGACGGCGGGAGCCAGCGCTTCCGTCCTGGGCGCCACCAGAGAAGTTAAATTCTCCCCTTTCTACGACGTTTAAAAAGTCCCCGAAAGACAGAAATATGGAGACGAGCTGAAACGCTCTTCGGGTGCTGGGCTCCGAGAGGAAGCCGCGGTCAGCAAGGTCCCGGGGGACACCGTCCAGGTGCTGCCTGTGGAGACACATCCTGGGAAGGCGCGGGAAGGAGGACATGAAGCAAGTGAACCATCAGGATGTCTGGGGCCGAAAGCAAGACGGTGACGGTGAAAATGAAGGAAAGGGCATGTGGGCAGGACTGTGTGCTGCCCTCAGGAGCCGGGAAGGCAGGCGAGAGACACAAGGGGGACGGTGATGAAAGCAGAGCTGGAGGAGGAAAGCCGGGTCCTCCCGGCCCTGGGCGCAGGGCGAGCTCGGACACGTGCTCGCGTCTGAGGAGACAGCGAAGGAAGGCACTGCAGGTTTTCGGGGGAACGTGGAGGCCTGGTCCTTTACAGAAGCTGGAGCTCCAGGGGAGAGGCTAGACTCAGACCTCCCAGCCCACGGACTCCCCGCACCCCCGCCCACGAGTGTGTGTGACGATCGCTTCCTCCCGAGCGGACAGGCCGTCCGTCCTTGCTTTCACCCTGTCCTTCGCCAGGACTCATCGTGGACAAAGAATGGCGGGGCAGAGCCCACTGCTAGCCAACAGTAGCCACCAACTCGATGACGCCGACACTGCAAGACCAACATGAAGAGACCCCAACGCTCACAGCCGCCCAAGTCTAGGCTCTGGGGGGGTGGGCGTGGTTTGAGCAAAGGGAGATCCGGGAGGGAGCAAGGAGGGAGGCGGCGCAGGAAACCAGCACACCTGCTCTAGGCTCTGTTCCTGCACAGTTTTCCCTTCACGCACACCCGGCTGCTCTGAACAGCATGAGACCACACCCCCCATCGTGTGAAATGCACACGCACACACACACACGCACACCCTCACGGCTAAGCCCCCCCAAACAGGAGGCCTTCCAGCTTCCCAGGAGGAGCCCCACTGCGAGTCCTCAGACAGGCGCTAGGTGGAGCTCAAGTATAAAAGACAGAGCCTTCCCTCAGTGACAGGAAGATGAACCTCAACACAAAACCTCCTTATGGAGGATCTTACACAGACACCGTAATCCTCACAGAAGAGCGAAGCAAGTATTGTTTGAAAGGATCAAACAAATAACAACATATTTTAAAATAACTTAAAAACTAGCCACAACCCCGTGTTAGGATGAAGACCTTTCTTTCTTCTTCTTCCCTCTGAAACCAACCAAATAAACAAGAACTGGAACCACAAATCCACTCTGAGTTAAAAATTATGACAAAATTAAAATCACGTGACTGATGCCTAGTTTGGAACGCCTCGGCATAATGGAGAAACACTGTGCCCTTCTTAGAGGCAACGCGTCTCAGTGAATTACCCGGGTTTGTGTCTGGGGCCCTTAGCGGGCAGGCCCCCGTCCACAGGCCTCTTCACCAGAGCGTGGTCCTGGCTGGGGTCCACGAACTTGAACACGTGCTGGGCCCCGAACTGCACACTCATCCCGCTCTGCAGCATGGTCGTCTCCGAGATGCGCTGCCCCTCCACGTAGGTCTCCGCATCCATGCTTCTGGGCGTGACGGTGACCACACCATCCATGTTCGTGAGGTCGCAGTGGTGGGGCTGAATTCCTGAACCAAACAACTAAAAACAGGAGGAAAAGTACACAGAATTTAAACACAAAATCGTAAAGCTGCGAGTCCCCCTTTGACGACGCACGCAGTCCAATCAGCTCTGGACTGCGGGCGCTTTTCAGTGGGTTTCCATCGCGGTGTAAAGATAAGTAAACACTGTCAAACACCTGCACATTCCATTTTAGCAGCCAGGGCCTGGACTTAGGGCAGGCTGTCACTCGGCATTAAACAGCACGTGGTCATTGTAAGGACTGTGAGAGTTAGTGGTCAGTCTATACAGATGTAAGATTACAAGCTCCTGTGTCTGTTTACTGCTGTGCTGAGGAGGAAAGGATGTCAGAGCGGAACCCAACGTTGACAGCTGGCCGTCGTTTACAACCAAGTCCACCTGGGGCAGCGATGCCCGGACTCTGCTCACTCACAGAGCTGCTGAGCTCGGATTGCCAAGCGCCCGAGAACCACGCCCAGACGACACTTGCACTGTGAGTCCCGAAGGCTGCGACCCCAGGTGTCGCCCGGTGATGGGCACTGTCTCCCGGAAGCAGGCCTGTAAGGCCATCGCCATCACTGGGGACAAGCAGCAGCCTCAGGAACGTCATGGCCACCCCACGTTTCTAGACGGGCAGTGTGGACAGAAGCGCACACTCTGCTCTTCTCACGCTGAGCAAAGAGAAGTGACCCCGAGTGAACAAGCTACTTACGCTTAAATACAGTTTTTCATGTTCACCCATTTACCCATTCGCTCCCACCTGCTACCTCCTACGGAAAGGTGAGAATCACAAAAGGCAGCTGAGAGCAGCCGTCGGATGCGCACCTGGATAGAGCTGTCGTCAAACTTGTCTGTCCCGACCTCAGTCACACTGAGCTGCAGGCGGTAGAGCTTGGGCTTGTCTCTGGAGTCAGATCCGTCTGTGAGAAGCAAGTAAAAGGTCACCTTAGAAGCGACACCACACACAGAAAATGCAAACTGAACACATGAACACATCAGCTCCTGCTGAGAATCATTCAAGGTGCTAAACACTGTCATTCATACCGGCATGTTCCCATCAGATAACAAGCATTGTCTCTTCTCTCCTTCCCCATATCACCCAGTGAAGGTCATTACAGACCCAGGGCCTTCCCTGAGACCAGGTCCCTCTGGCAGTGAACCTGCCCTCTACCCGCACCGGCCACTCAGCTGTGGGCACTGCTGGACCCCTGAGGCAGGTCTTCCAACTGCAGCTTCAGGTCTTGCCCAGACCTCCTGGACCAAATCCTTTGGGGAGGAGACCCTATCCCCAGGGGCTCAGCTCCAGGGAGCAGAGCTGCGGGAGGACAGAGGGCCCTGGCTTGTTGGTGTCACTCCACCCTCTTTGATGTGTTGGAACTGTACATGTCCCTGCGCAGGACTTCCATGATGGAGGTGCTTGGGGAGAGCAGTGCCTGGCGGGCTGGTTTCTACGCAGGTGTGTTGCCTAGGGCACCTACTCATTCCCTCCCCTACAGGATGGCACCAGTCCAAGACCTGCTCTGATTTCAGAGCTGCCAGCACAGGAGGGAACATGCCCCAAAGGACCAACGGGTCCCAAAAGAGGTGGCGTGGAGGCAGCCCAGAGGGCATCCATCCATCCGCTACAGCCTCCCACCAGCCCAGGAGCCGCACGACCTACTGCACAAACGCCTGTGGCCTCAGGGCCTCTTAGTAAGCCGCCAGCTACGATCTCTAGGCGCCCGCTCGGGGACGCCAGCGGGGAGGGCTTCTGGAGCTCAACATCTGGAGTGCCCACTGGTTTCACGCTGTGGTATGGTCTCAGCTCTTGGACACAAAATGCCATGCCTACACCAGCTCTGTGCAAACCGTTGTGATGTGAGAGTGTGCACAGTAACACCCACAGTAACAGCCCATCTCGGAAGCAGAGCAGAGGTCCGACATCCGGGCAAGGCAGGAGACACTGGAGCAGCACCTGAGACCCAGGTCAAAGTGCGCTAGGAACCTTGCTCACAGCTGGGCCCCACCCTCATGACATGGTGGCAGCTCCAAGTTCTGATCCAAAAGGAGGCATCAGCACCACCTGGGCTTTCCCTGGACCGGCACCCCCACACGGCTATGACCCTGCTTGCTGCAGACACCAGGTGCTGGGTCCCTGTCCCTCCCTTCTTCCTACTGCCCCGCCTCCCAGCTCTTAGCTCCCTGGTGGCTAGCTTTTTGGAGAAACCTCTCTATCCTGGTGCTCAGCAGTGTCCGGTCCACAGTATGCGTTTAATAAAGATTTAATGTCAGCAGTCAGTAATTATTAACTAAAAATAAAGAGACAGAATAATGCAACACGGTCACAGCAATTACAAAATAAAGAAAACAAAAGAAGCAAATAACTGATCAAAAACAATTATTTCAATACAAAGTGAAAAAAAACCAGAAGAACATGAAAAACGTGTCTATTTAGGGGAGAAAGACTCGTGATGTGCTTGCTCTTGAAGGGCATCGTGTGAGCTCACGGCCATCACCCCCTCTCCATGGCCACGTTCACATCAGCAGTTAGAGCTACAGAGAGAGGGAGCAAACCCCTTTCCAGGCCCCTCCTTTCTGACCACTTCAAAGTAACAACAGGAAACACCTCCACAGACAGATTGGGAGCCACCTCCATGGTGGCCACGGACTCTGAGCTATGATGGTGTGTGTTTGCGTTTGGGGAGGGAGGAAGAGAGGGGGACGGAGGCACGGAAGCTCTGGTAGGTGCAACCTTTCCTCCTGCAGCAGCACGGCCGGCCCCCTGCTCAAGGGTGATGACCTTCGCACAGCAGCCGCGCACACTCCTCACACCGAGTCCTCAGCGCCCTCCCCCACCAACCCCGGCCCTCCACGCTGTCCCCTCGGCCAAGGCAGAGCCCCGTTCCAGTGGAAAACCCTCTAAGAGCCCTGCCACACAGAGCAGTCTGAGATCTGCTCACTTTTAATCCTGCCTTAAGAATACGTGATATGTGCACGTGGTTCCCAATGTGTAGGGCACAGGCGGTGCCCAGTGAGTGCCCTCCCTCCACCCCTCTCCCAGAGCCAGGCTTCCTTCCACAAGCCGTTTCATGCATCTGTCATTCAATAGCTAGAAAAGGGTTCCTCTTTCTCCTTTTTGGGGGGCAGCAGAAACGTTAGAATATTATTTAGGGTTGTCAAATGAAATACATGACATCCAGTCACATGTGCAATATCTGAGATAAACTTACACTAAAAAACTGATGTTTTACCCAAAATCCAAATTTATGTGGGTGTCAGAATTATCTGGCAACCTGCGGTCCCTGAGTCACTGCCACACGTGCCGCGCCTTGTCTGGAAGTCCTCCTTAGCGTGCTGCCTACTAAGGGGGAGCCTCTCTCAGGCAGACAGGAGCACGTGTGCAGGCACCTGTTCCATCCATGGCTCTGCCCTCAGCGGCATCCAGAGGAGCCTCTGGGAAGCAGTGTGTGGTGCGGAGTGTGGACGCGGGCCCTGTGCTGGGTGTGGCAGGGGACCCGGGAGAAAGTGAGCAGAGCTCACATCTCAGTGAACCAACACAGCGGCGGCGCCACGCCCAAGGGCTGTGAGGCCACTGAGAGCATCTGCACGGGCAGCCCCAGCTTCCCTGGGAGAACATGACCCCTCGAGTGACGCTGGTGTGAGAAGCAGCGCATGCGGCCGAAGCTGCTGACACCCTCCATGCACGTGGTGTGAGCAGGGGAAGGAAAGTCCTGTCACTCCATCACCTCAGAATATGAAATTAACAAACATGTGGAATCATTCCAGAACCCTCATAAGATAAAAGCACACCTGAGCCTCTGCTTTATGTATACAGAAATATCAAAATAGCTAAAAAGAATAATACCACCTGTTTATATTTTTTAAAAAACACACAACAAAACCCAAATTCCAAGTTTGGCTAATAGCTAATGAAAATCTGTATGATCAGTTTGGAGAAAATTAAACTAAAATAAGATGGTAAAAAGTAAATAAACTTCACAAAGCACGTAAAGTATTTGTTAGATTTAACAAGTAAAAAATATCTACTCTAATAAAAAAGAAACATGCAAATTGACCATACATTCACTACACCCCAAGCCATGCCCACTAGCCAATCAGGGCAACTATATGCAAATTAACCCAACCAAGATGGCGCTGGCAGCCATGGAGCTGGAGCAAGCAGGAGGCTTGGTTGCCCTGGCGATGGAGGAAGCAAAGCTTCCCGCCTGCCCTGGCCCACTGTTGCCTCCGCTAAAGGCAACAAAGTTTCAATTATAGAAGATAAATAAATCCCAGATACCTGCTTCCAGCCAGCCTCCACTGAGAGCTTGGGTGGCTGGGGGCCATGGCCAGCCTGCAAACAGCCATCAGCCCCTCACCCAGGCTGGTCACACCCCAGCAGGGACCCCATCCATGAAGGGGTTGTGGCCAGCCTGAAAACAGCGATCAGCCACTCACCCAGGCTGGCCAGGCACCCCAGCAGGACCCCCCTCCCTGAAGGGGGTATGGCCAACCTGAAAATGGCCCTCAGTCCCTCACCCAGGCTTCCAGGCACCCCAGTGGGACCCACACCCTGATCCGGCATATAATAAAAGGGTAATATGCAAATTGACCCTAACAGCAGAACAACTGGGAATGACTGGTCACTATGATACACACTGACCACCAGGGGGCAGACGCTCAATGCAGGAGCTGCCCCTTGGTGGTCAGTGCGCTCCCACAGGGGAGCTCTGCTCAGCCACAAGCCAGGCTGAGGGCTGCCAGCACAGTAGTGATGACGGGAGCCTCTCCCGCCTCCTCAGCAGCGCTAAGAATGTCCGACTGCAGCTTAGGCCTGGTCCCCGCTGGCAAGTGGACATCCCCCTAGGGCTCCAGGGCTGTCAGAGGGATGTCTGACTGCCAGCTTAGGCCCGATCTCCCGGGGAGCGGGTCTAAGCCAACAGGTGGACATTTCCTAAGGGGTCCCAGACTGGGAGAGGGCACAGGCCAGGCTGAGGGACCCCCCCGAGTGCACAAATTTTTATGCACCAGGCCTCTAGTTTAAACTATAAAAGCAGATAAAACAAAGTATTTCCATAAAACCAACAACTAGCTGTAGCATTTAAGATGACAAAGACGGAGATACTCAAAATCGAAGTAGCGCGTTCCGGGGAGAAAGCACCGCTTGCCGACAAGAAGAGATGCGTTCGCCTGAGAACAAGGAGCCCTGAGGACATCTCAGGCCTGGAAGTAACATAAGCTCCCAGCACACGGCTGGCCTCCCCTGCAGCCGCCCAAGGAGTCTCGGACATGAGACGCTCCTCCCACCACCATCACTGCACCCCAAGGTCGCGGACAGTGCTGAACAAAGCACTCCTCCTGCCTGCTGCCTCTCTGTCTCTCTCACCCTCAGTATTCTCATTCTCTCCTTCCCCGTCCCTGCCTCTTCCCTCTTATTCTTGGGGGGGATGGAGGGGAGAAGAATAGGAAAATCGCTCTCTCCCTTCTTTAAGTTCTCACTTAAGTAAGCCTAGTAAAGGAATTGGACATTTTTGCAAAATAAGTTCCCATTATTTTTAATGAATTCCGGATATGGAATGCTTATTAATGACAGTACATTAAGTGTCTTAAAATAAGTCATTCATACCAACTCAACACCAATGCGCACACACACCAGGCTCTGTCAGCGCCCTAGCCGAGCAGCAGGAGCACAGCGTTACCTTCGTGAGCGTGATAGCTGCAGTAGGCAAAGTGGTTCCTTCTCCCTGGGGTGCGCATGCAGAGGACCCAGGTGAAGGCAGCGCAGCGACAGGGGCCATGCGGGACATGAAGAGGGAGAGACAGGAGAGGTGAGCTGCAGTGAGACCGCTCGGCCGGGAGGAAAGTGTCCACCCCACCACCTTCAGGATGAGGACGGACGACAGGCCCAGGCAGGCTGTGTGTTAGAGACAACGGACTGTAAGGAGACACCGAGACGACAGGTGAGTCACCGGGCAGGAGAGCAGAGAGGGAGGCCTGGAGTCCACGCCCCCCGCAGTCTTCTGTTGAAAGAACACAGTCAAACCCAAAGCAAAGCCTACAGGAACTTTTGAGCCCCCATTTCTCCAAAAGACAGTGTAAGCTACACCCACACCTCACACACCTCAGGCATTCAGCCCAGCTGCGGACAGACCCAGTCTGATGACGTGTCCGGTGGAAATACAGTTCTCACCCATTCACGACAAGTCAACACGGACACATTACTTGCTTGGCAAAGGAACACCTTCCACTTCATTCAGCATGCTGACTCTAAGAGTGAACACTGAGAGAGACAGCAGGGCTACTGAGAAGAACAAGGTTTCCGCGTAAGACCTTGCCCAGCACTCAGGTCTGCCACCACTTGCTCACCCTGACAGTGGTCGCCAATCTGAGCATCGGGCATTTGTCAGACAATAAGGCCACCCAACAGGAGGGACGTCGGACCAACGCACTCACGGGGACTCACCACACTGTGTCACCAGCAGCTCTTGGGTGCAATCACTCAACGGCAGGAGCAACCTCACTCATCTTGGAAACCCACTGCTCAGCCTAAAGCATTAGCTTGGTAAACGCTGACCAACGTAGCAGAAGGCCACGGACAAAGGACACATATTAATTGGCATGTAACATGCTGTTGCCAATATTTGTTGAAAAGGAGCACAGAAGTAAAACTTACCTAGTCTCTACCACTTTCCCACACCTACAAAAAAGGTTACATATTCTCATCACCTGGGAGACTATACATAGGAAATAAACAGTCAAAATAGCAATTCTGTTTGTCGGAGCGCTATCTCCAAGGCCAGACGATGACATATAATAAGGGTTCAATAACTATTAGTCAAATCAGTCAATGAACGAATTCTCAACCTGTCTCTGCTACCACTCAAATCAACTTTCCATTACTCCTTTGAAAACTATTCTATGTTGACTGCTATTTATCAATTCTCTCTGAACTAATAATTCTTCTAAATCCTCAAAATTTTTGGTCTGAAGAAAATAATCATTAATTTCTAGCATGTAATGCAAAACTTTCCTGACTAAAAAATGCTAAGTTCAGAAATAAACGGCCATCTCACAGTTGCTCGCCACTGCCTCAGACTCCAGGCACCAACACGCGCACACCCGACAGGCACACTGATACCAGGACGTGTCCGAACCACAGCGAGCAAGCGACATTTAAACAAAGTGTTCAGCCAGAGACTGAGGGACGAAGTAACACCAACCGATTCCTCATGAACAGCCAAGGGAGTAAAAACCCTCCAACATCATCAGCATAAACTAGGACCTGCAGCAAACTGCCACCAAGCGCCGACTGCCCGTACCCGGCAAAGCAGCACCGTTTCTCCTGCATCGATGCAGCCGGCCGGACCATCGCACCGTGTCTAACCAGCAGTCATAACCTTGGCAACAAACGCACACTTAAGAATGAAGAGAGAGAATGACAGAACACCTGCCCAGAGAACCATGGGTTGCCTGTGCATCTGGCTTGGTTCCCAGCTCCCTTGTTCTGTGATTGCTAACGGCCTGTAGTTAAACGCAGTCCTGGCCGGGGGGAGCCACCGCCTGTCTCGCACAGCGCAGTACCACACAGGCCACATTAGTCCTCGAACCACATCAACTCGGAATGATGTCGTTTATCTACATCATAAACATGCCATGTGTGTCACATATGCAAACATATGTACTACATAGGGATATGTGTGTAAAACGTTTAAGAACATCAATGTATTTCTCTACCTGATGGCTCACTTATAACAGCTTTGGCTTACGAGAGCTCTATAAACAAGTATTTTAAGCCGAACAGGAAAATAAACTTGGTCTACTCTCATTTTGAAACCAGACGCCCTCCCTCTCACAGACAGTTTCTCCGCTGCACGGCTACGTTTAAGGACACTCTTTTCAGACACTGTTCACACATCCAGCACCGCTGAGCCCACGCTGCCACGCCGGAACCTGCGTGGGAGGAGCCATCTCCGGCCATCAGCTGGAGGAAGGACTTTACAAGGCCATTTTGAACAAAAAAATGTTAATGGCGATCAATTACACCTTTTCTTTATCCTCTATCACCACTATTTTAACTTTTTTTTCAATACCGACTTCTGCCTGTGTGAGCTTTATTCTTATGCATGAAAAGTACAAATATTAGGACCTTAAGGTTCCGAGTGTTTTTTAAAGTAAATGTCACCTTATGAGGTTATTTTTTAGAAAAATAAATGGTTGGAAACAGGCTGTGAGGCCAGAGAAAAGCTCCTTTACAAAATGACCCGCTCCTGGTGCCTCACCTGGGCTCAGCTCCACGAGGTACGGCAGCTTCTCAGGCGGCAGCGCGGAGCCGTAGCCCGCCCCGTCGGCTCTCTCCTTGCCCTTCGCGGGCCGCCCGTCCAGGTGCTTCTTGCTTTTCCTGGGGACATAGTCTGGGGGCCTCCTCTTCAACTGAAAGACTAAAATCCCTGGAACAGAAGCAATGCTGGTATGAACTAGAAGCACGGGAGTGCAGACGGCCAGCTGACCAAAGATGCGACCCAATGACATCTCCCAAGGCAAGCAGCGTGCACGCTTCCCAAGTACGCTCTACTCAACAGAGGCAGTGCAGTCTCTGGGTGTGCTCCGAGACTCCAGCAACCAGGCTGCAAAGGTTAACTCACATTATCAACTACCCAAGCACGTGGCATCCTTGAAAAGCACACATCAGTGTAAGAATGAATGAGTGTTTGTCTTGGTAAACAACCCTATGAGCAATAAATATATTCTCACACACACGTGTAACACACGCACACACACTCTATACACACAAACATCTGTTTAGTTGATCTGATTTTTATTTAGTTCAACTGACTTAACTCAGAATTCAAAGGAATTTAACTTTAATAAAGCTTACCTGTATACTGTCTAGAAAAAGTATTGAGTGTACTTTTAAAACTACCAGTCCAGCCCTAACTGGTGTGGCTCAGTGGATAGAGCCTCGGCCTGCGGACTGAAGGGTCCCGGGTTTGATTCTGGTCAAGGGCACGTACCTTGGTTGTGGGTACATCCCCAGTAAGGAGTGTGCAGGAGGCAGCTGATTCATGTTTCTCTCATCAATGTTTCTAACTCTCTATTCCTCTCCCTTCCTCTCTATAAAAAAATCAATAAAATATATTAAAAACAAAAAAAACTACCAATCCACATTCAAGCACTGCCAGGGTTGACTGGTAGTAAACCTTTATGTATTTACTAGGGGCATGGTGCACAAAATTCGTGCAATGGGTGTGTGTGTGGGGGGGGGAGGGTCCCTCAGCCCAGCCTGCCCCTTCTCACATACTGGGAGCCCCCAGGCGTTGACCCCCCTC